GATTCGCACGTGCGCTATACAAATGAGTCGTGTAAAAGACGCGAGAAAAGAGGGGAGAAAAAATTTCTGATCACAAGTTATAATCATTTACAATTTGAGAAAACAGCGAGGTATCCAATCAACGAAGGGTGTCAAGACGCGATTGGAATCACTTGAAAATTAAGTACATTGTTTTTCAATTGAATAGGTCAAAATAAAAATTCAGGACGTAAAATATTTTACTCTTTGATTAAAATTATACAATTGGAAAATAAGTTTTGATAAAAATAATTTATTTGCAATCAAATAATTTCAATACTTAATTACAATTGATTGGCCGACACATCAACGTACCACGCAATCTATTTTCCGAGCATCGAATGCTTCTGATTTTGTGGTCGTTTTAATTTTTATGTGAATTTTTACGTATGTATCACATCTAGCAGCTGTTCTTATACAGCAGATTTTCATGGTTTTTTAAAGTATAAGTTATAATTTTTATTATTTAATTTCGTTAAGTTGTAGTGTAAATGCTATATAAATAATCTAGAGAGACGAACTGAGATCAAAAACCTATGATTATCGTACTCACTCGCTCGCTCGTTTTCAAGAAGTTTCACACCAATAAAAAAAAGAGAAGAAATAAAGGAGGCGAGCTTGAGACTGCAGCGCGAATGAAAGGCGAACGCGGAGGGGTGCGGTGAGCGCATAATAACGTGGCTAATTATCATCGGGTCTGTCTGTGTATGCGCATGTGTATGTGTGTCAGGCTTGTAACGGCGAAAGAATGCGCAAAGTCGCAGAGAAAACAGAGAGATACATTATATGCGTGTAACATAATGTCCAGCCAGACCGATACAAGCGCATATAGGTTACAAAAGCTTATAATTTCGCGATCGCGATACGCGATCGATGACACTTCAATTTAGCATTCTTGTACACACAGTATGCGCTCACGGTTCTCCAACCAAGAGCATATTATATATATACCATTTACCGAGTCTGAATGTAGCAGTAACTAGACGCAACGATGTAAATATAGAATTTATTAAGAAAAAAAAAAAGAAGAATTGCAAAAATGCTAAATACCATACACGTTATGTAGGCTGGGAGGGTAGTCATTAAAAAGCGACGCATTGTTTTGCTGCATTCGCGAGAGCTGCTGCTCTTATGCGCGTGTATTTTCCTCTCTGTCTCGTTTGCGTGCATTGACCGGAAGCTTTCGTCAAATATATTATAACTGTGAGAAAAAAGCATCCCGAGACTGAAAAAAAAATTATAGTTTTTTTCTTTATCTCTTTCTCTCTTACTCTCTCGTTCTCGGTTGCAAATTAGCCGACATTGTTTCAGTTACATAATAGAGAGAAAGAGAGAAAAACGAGATAATTTCTCTCTTGTTGTGAACGGCGCGTTGGAATGTTTCGCGAGCTGGAAAATCAATTCAGGACATACCTATCCTTTTTTCGCGCGCGCGCTTACACGCCATAAAGCAGTCGACGCGCATCTTTTCATATACATGTAACTGCTGCTGTATAGTTTTAGACTTTGCTAAAAACTGATTTTTCAATATTTTTCCTCTATCTTGTTTCTCTTTTCGTTCGTTCATGGCTCGCGGGGGAAATTGATTAAAGAATAAATTTACAGAGGGGACGGTGGGTAAATTAAATTTTTCAAAGTCTCGAGTTTCTTCATCCCGTGCGCCTGGGTGCAGATGGAGTTTTCGCTCTCTTCGCGCCACCCTCGCCACAAGCTGGCAAACATCAAAAAACATCTCGCGACGCTATACACATTTATAAAATATCGTACGCGGCAGCTTGCATTAAAAATTGAAAAATCCCATTAAGTCGCGAGAAGGGAGGAAGAGAAAGAGAGAGGAGAGTAAAACTCGACCCCTCGCGCGCGCGCCTCTAGTCGAATATACCATGGGCTAAAAAGGAAAAAAGTTTCCCTTGTGATGCAACGCGCTCCTGCTGCTGCAGCTACGTACACCATAAACACGCACATGGTTTTTTCCCCTTTTCTTTCTTTTTTTTTTTTTTTTTTTAAGCGCGAGAGGATCAAAGCAGCAAAATGTACACACATTTATACGAACGCGCGAAAAAAAATTACGCGCTCTCGTATCAAAGCTTATACGTGGGAAAAGGGCGCGTCAAGTGCGGTCATTATGCACATTGGTGCGCTGCGCGCAACGAAGAACGAAGGAGGAAAAAAAAATAAGTACGGTAGCAGTGCAGTATATGGGGATAAATCATTAGCATCGAAATGCGCAAAAGGGTGGCGAAAAAAACAGAAGGATAGAAGATATACGAGAGAAAAACACCTTTTTCCCCTGCACCTACACATCTCGCAGATATATAATAAATATTTCAAGTTCGCACGATGCGCGTCAAGCCGCTACCGCTGCATATTGTGCATACAAGACGGATAGAGAATTTACTATCTTTCTCTCTTGCTCTCCTCGAGCATTAAACGCAAAGCTCGCATGGAGGCGGCGGCGGCGGCAAGAATACAACTGCGGCTCAAATACTGCTACGTTACTACATACATACGGCATAATGCGCGTGGTTGGCATTGTTAATGCGATCATCGCCCGCGTACAACTGCTCCGTGCTCCGGAGTACAGTAGATATGTACGACGACTAGTGACGAGAGAAGGGCGGGTCGGTCGGGCGCGACTCGCTGCAACTCCGTGTGCGCCTTTAAACTCGAACGTAGCTCGATTATATACATATGTATTAAATATGCTCTCTACTGCCGCCGCTGCTGCTATATACATGCATACGTATAACGCGTGGATAAATCAAGTGCAGCGAGTGCTCTCTCAAGTCGTTCTCTCTTGCATGTAATATAACGACGAGTACGTACAAATGTTAACGACGCTGAACATTGCGCTCGCCGCGCGCACATACATAAGCACCTGTATCGGAGTCCTTCTTATATGAGGTCAACGAAGAAAAAAACTAAATAATAATAATAATAATAATGTTAATCATAACAACGATTATAATTATTATAACTCACTTGCCGCACGGACGGGAGAAACGCGAGGCACTTTCGCGAGCGAGCGCGCGATGATAATTAAATTATTCCGTGCGTATGATTATTTAATCTGCTGTACTTAGCAGCAGCAGCAGCCGATCCTGCTTGGTTAATATAAATATAATACGCGTATAACAGCGTGCATTGATTCATGTATTTGGCTTGGCTCATTAATATATCGGAAGTTCGGTTATATTAAAGCGCGGCATCGAAACGAGCAGCTCGCTCGTGCTCTTTCTTTTCCTTTTTATTTTTTTTTCATTCGTTCAATTTAAATTACACGTACGTTTAACCGGGTATGTGTGTGGTGAGTGAAATTTTTGCCCGAAAATCGCAACATAATATTCGGGTCAGGTAGTCCTCTCTTTTTTTCTCTCTCGTTCTCGCTCGCGCGCAGCACTATACCGAACCTACATTATATACAATCCGTATATATATGTAGTGGTGCACGCTGTAAGTAGCAGACACTTTGACCCAGTTTAAGCTCCTTTTTTAGTGTGTCTGTGTATATATACTCGCGAGCAGCACCTACGCCCTTATCCCCCAAGAGACTCATCGGCCATATCACGCCCTCGACGTTTTCGTGCGCTGCAATTGATGCACAGCAGGCCGAGTGAGAGAGAAGTGTTACACACAGCGCGGCAGTTATTTCAAATTATGTGTACTCGGCCGGAGAGTAGAGAGAGAGGTGTACGTACGCGGGGGGCATTTTCTTCTTCCTCTTCCTTTTTTTTTTGCTCCTCGTATCCTCTCTCTCTCTCGCACGCGCGAGCGAGCCTCGGCAAAAGACAAATTTATGGACGGTTTATGCTGCCCAGCTCTTCTTTTTTTACTCTTTCACTTTTTTTTTCGTCGAGTTAGTACAGTGCAAACTGCAACTTGCTTAAAATACATTACGTGGGACACGTAGCGACGATTTGTCTTACTTCCGTACTTTTGCGTTATACATCTATATTAAATGGTTTAAAGGCAGTAGCATACGTAGTAGCAGCAGCAGCGTTGAGTGGGTCAAAAGCGACCGATAAACAAATTGTGCAAATAGAGAGAGACATTATGTGCCGCAGGGTTAGGTGGTGTACGATGCGTTTATGTTACATATAGCGAGGGTGAAAGTGCTAGAAGGAAAAAAAGATAGATAGAAAAAAAAACAACAACGTTCGCGTAGGCTCGCGTGTCCGTAGATTCTCTCTCTCAAGCAGCTTTATAGGGCCTCTTCCTCATCATTATTCGAAGATTACCTACACTATGCCAACTTATTGAGCTTGCGGCGATGTAGTATATACGCTACATATCTGCTGTTGCTGCTACCGTTCGTGTGTATCACATGTACGTGCCTATTGGGTCGGGTGGCAGGTTTCAGCACATTCACGAAGCGATAAATAGGTGACGCGACCAAGCGGCGGCGCTGAATTCATAATAAGGTTTTGCCTTTGTGCGTTTTGCCTCTTTTTTTTCTCTCTTGTCTCTCCTCCGCCTCCTCCTCCTACTTCTACTTCTTTCTATCTTCTTCTTCTTTTTTTTATCTAAGAACATTGACTCGATCGCGCGTTCTCGGGGCAGTTTGGTTGCTGGTGGCCGGCACTTGACGCTGCGGTCACGAACAGCAGCAGCAGCAACACCACCTGCGCTCACGTGTTTATTGGATTTATTTCGACGATTTTTTTCTCCTTCTTTATTATTTTCGCCACTTGTTCTTGCAAGAAGCGGTGGTACATATATATAGTTATAATCAGCTAGCTTTAATATAACGAAGCTCGCTGGTGCGAACGTTTAACATGGTGCTTCGTGCTCGCATGCACATGCGAAAAAAAAAGAAAAGAAGAAAAAAGATACCTCTTTAGCCGTAAATGGCGATAAATTTATTATAATATGTATACTTGCATCGAAATTATAAAACACCTCCTTTATGGCATGATGACATTTTTTACATTACCGATGACGACGATGATCTAATGACTTTTTCCCCCTTTTTTCTTCAACAGAATACGTGCGGAGAGTCTTGCACGAGCGGAGTTTATTATCCGACTACGCAAGGAGTCGAGGAGGTAAAATTCTCTTATGCCTCGGTGTTGTTTGTTTAAAATAATGTTTGCAAAATTTCTGTTTTTTATTCTGCAACACTTTTGTGCATCTCTATAGATGTTTTCTTCTTCTTCTATTTGCATCTCTTTTTATATACGTGCATCTTGTCTTTTTTTATCTCATGAAAAACATCAATATCATCATCATCATCATCATCATCATCATCATTGATCGATCAGGTTTTTTAGCATCATCCTCTCTTCTTTTTCCGTCAATGCCAAAACCGTATCATTACTCGCATCGATTTTCATTTTTGTTTATTATACACTCTATATCTATATTTGAAATATTTCAAGTGCCTGCTCAGATACGTTTTTCATTTGGAATGCTATTTTTCATATAGTGTCATGATGATTGTTAAAAATAGCCATTATTTTTTTTCTTTTTCATTCAACGATGCGCGGCAAGCTAGCTACAACTCTCGCTCGCGCGCTATAACGCAAGAAATTTTTTTCATACATACCCAAGCTGCACACACGCATGGAAAAATAATCGCACGGCGCGGGACTCGCGCGAGTCCGCGGAAAACAAGAACGCGCGCTGCCGCGTATATGAGAAAAATCGTTTGTCAATGTCTCCGCAGGCGAACCGAGTTAACCTATATAACAATTTCTCCTTTTTTTTGTATTTGCAATTTTTTTTTGTCTCGCTCGCAGCAAACGTGTTTGCGGCGAGTATAATACGCGAAAAATCGTTTTCAGCGATTCTTAACCCAATTCCAGCCAAGGGTGGCTGCTGGCGCGCGCTGGCAAAAAAGAACGGGCGAGCGAGAGCATAATACAAGAGTCAAACGCCGAAAATCTAACTGTAACGTGGCAACAAATAACCCACCTCGTTCGTGCGTTATACAGTTCGTGTGCAGCAGCAGCTCTCTCGGTAAGCCCGGGCGCGCGCCTTTGTAAGTAAGAGAGAAAGAAGGAGAAAATAAAAAGTCAACTCTCTTGGTTATAAAAGAGTCCATACGTATATGTACGGTATATCGGTCGCGCTCTGCAAAGCTCGCTGGCCCGTGCTTAAACGAAGGCAAAAACAAGCCGATACATGTATAATACGCGAGCGGCGAGTTTAAACGAAGAAAAATAGTCGTGCAGAGGTGGTGAGAGAGACGCGAGCTTTTTCTCTGCGATACGCGTCTATACAGCATAGACTGCACGGAAAAATGAGCTTGCAGCGATTGTAAGAGAAAAAAGAAATACTTCGTCTTCTTCTTTTTTCTCGCTTAATCGTCAAACTTCAATGTAGGATCGAATTTTAATTTGACAAAATTGATCCTTTATGCCTCGAAAACTCGATAATATCGAATCGCGAACCGTACGCGCGTATATATCCCGGGATTGAAAATGGCCAGCTCGATCCTCGACAAAAATCTATATTGTACGCGGAGAAACAAATTGTCGATTGCTTTCGTTGTCGAGCTCTGTCTCCCTCTCGCGAGGCGTATCATATTATATACACGTGAAAGTATCAATTTCAGGTCGAAATGAAATTTCTATCGGTTACAAGATACGAGAGAGAGAGAGAGAGATGAACTTTTCAATTGTCACGCGGGCGAGCTCGCGAGCGAAATACAGAAAGGGTCTATATACCCGGTACATTTATACTGTAAATATCGAGCTTTCGACGAGTTTTATTGAATATTGTCCGCTGCGCTGCGACGACGCGGGATTAAAGCTTAGAGAGCCTCTAAATTCACGCGCGTATTAATATCCGCGTGTATCGTGTTCGATGCACGCCGCGCGCTGCATTGTTTAAATGAAAATAAACGCGTGTATATATTATGTCAATTCGAGACGAGCTTACGGGTGAATTAATAAACATCACGCGCGGCTCGCGAGAGAGATCGGCGCGATGCGAACAATAATTCGTTCGATTGTAAATATTCATTATGTACGAATTAATAATGCATCGAAACGTTCGTTCGTTTGGCCGCGAGGGAGGAGGATCGAGGCCGAAAGGGTCGTACATTTGGCGAAATTTTGCGGATAAATACGCGAACGATACTGACGTATTATGTATCGCATGCAGCAGTATCATGGCGCTGTGCTTGATTTCGTATTTCAAAAACTTTGCTGCTGACAATGCCTCGTTCGAGATTTATGAAAAAAGAATATACAATGCATATCGAGCAGTAAATGCATATACGTCTTGTCAACTTTTTTGCTTCTCTTTCCTGCAGTCTCGACGAATTTAAAAAAAAATCGTCACTTTTTGTTTATCGCGTCTCTTTCGATCCTCGACGCATCGTGTGCTATTGGAGCGCAGTTGAAATCGCGTCTAAGTTACATATACGGCATTACAATACCACACCATAAACGCATAAAAGCTCGCAAGTGCGGATAATAGTGCGTTATACGATATCATGTGCACCGCGACTCGAGTGAATCGCGCAGCCCTCTCGTGCCGAGAAAAGTTTCGCGTGCTCCGAAAAACTTTCTCTCTCCCTCGCGCTCGATTATTTTTTCTCCCTATACGTATCAGACTACCTCACCGGCAATGCACACTAGAGAGGGAGAGAGGAAGCTTTTGGTGTTTTCATTAATCGATTTCGAACGCGCCGAGCTGTCGCGCAACATGGGCATCAACCAGCAGCAGTCGTGGAAAATTCGTATACCGTGTGCGCCAAAAAATTTGCATGAAATTCCAAGCACGTGCGAGACGTCGTCGTCGGCGCGGAGCATAAGTACTACCCGTGCGTTGCTCCTCGGGTGTACATATAATATATAGAGACTGCAAGTCTGCAATATCAGCCTGAGACATATCAAACTGTCGTGTCTTTGCTCGTGTACGTGTACATGTGTGTGTATGTGTGTGTGTGCGCTGCAAGGCTCAACAACAAAGGGCGTTTGTCTTTCTCTCTCTCTCTCTCACTTTCCGTATACGATAATATAAAGAGATTGAACGTCGTCGTAGCCGTCTTAGTCGTTGTCCCGGGTGCGTACGTGCATGTGTACGTCGTGTACACGCCTGGGCATTGTTTTTTCGCCTTTTTCACTCCACTCTTCGTTCGTTCGGCTCGGTTCAGTTTGAGTAGCCTCTCGTTGTATAGAAACAACGAATGCTAATCGCTGCTCGAGCTGTGTATATGGATATAAGCTCTTTATGTCTCTGCACATACACACTTACGCACATACACTGACGCACTACATACTCAAGTGCATCTGCGCGCGATATACGCTGCTTACTATATATATTATAAGCTTTTGTTTGACGTTTTTGACGACTTATTTCTTTTTTGTTCGCCGTCTAAGGGGTTTGCGTTTTTTTTTTTGTTTTCTTTTCGTTGCCTTTGTCGTCGTTGTTTTTTCTTTTTCTTTCTCCGACTTCCGCGCGTGTGCGGGGTTCGATTTTGAGCGAGAAGCGCCTTGACACACGATGTTTGCCGAAGCGCACTTGACCTACGTCGCGGCGCGATGACGTGTCGACTGCTAATTGCTCGTGCATTCATAAACGTAGTGTATATGTGTAGCTGCTGCACTCGTCCTCGCTCGCTACAGACGCTATTGAACTTCTTCTGTGCATATATTTTTTTAAGCTTCGAGATTTTCGAGTATCAAGTTTACGCGCGTAAGCCAGTGAGGTGTAGTACACACCGTGTGAAATGCAGTATAGGAGTACTGTTAAATCCTCAATTTTAATGCAGATTCAACATAAAATCAGACATTTGAATTAGAGTAGCTTATATTGAATTTTATTCCAGGTACTTTTACATTAAATCTCTGCTGAAAATTAATGTCTAAGTATACCGATTTACTTTTTCATATAAGCTGCTCGAAAAATTCATGAAAATGTAATTATGTGCATTATTTTTTATAATGCAAAAATGAATGAATAAGATTCAGTTCTACAATCATATCGAATCTATTGATTGATTATTACTTTTTTAATAATAACTGAATTTTTGTGTTAATTGCACAAAAAATGTATGAAAATTAAATTGTATTTAAAGCCAACTTCTACCGCCGCTAGGTGGCGAGTACCTTTTTCTGCTAAACCTGCAAGTGGTAAAGTGAAGATGATTGTATAAGTCGAAGTACGGCAAAGCTAACCATTGTGTTTATGGTATGGTTTTCGTTAAACAACTATATAACATAAAGCTATTGGAAACATGGGCGTCTAATTTAAACAATAGAATGTATCATAAAATGTAAACGCATTATGATGCTACTAAAAAAATATGTACATAAAATGCATATAAAGTCTCTTTTTCAATTCAATTCAATTCAAGCCATCGATCATATGATAAAATATGAGTACTGTTAATTGATGGATCACAAATATTTTAACTTCGAGGCAGGCTTGTGGAAATTAATATCGTTTTTAAAGGTGATTCAAGAAAAAATTTGTAAAATTTAAATCAATTCACATTAATTGTAATGAATTAACATTAAATTGAATTCATTAACGCGAAGAAAAAAACTTCGTTTTACATGAATATTAAAGTAAATATTTTTAACAGTGTAATGCATAGCACCGCATTCGTTTTTCGAGTAAAACTTTCATTTATACATTCGCTGCGCCAATGTAGTGTAGGGTGTGTTTGCGTCTGCGACGGGGCATACACATACGGTATAACGATATTATATATCCACGCGCGATTGCGGAGAAAACGGAACGATGAATATCAATGGGAAAATTCTGCAAACTGCATTGTACGTGTGTTGTACGCGCTCGGCGCAGCTCGGCAGCAATGCACCGTGTATAATCCGAAAGGATTCAAGGTGTGAGAGTCGCTAACTTTGGGCTAGTTCTTGAATTTCAAACGAGCCTCGCAGATATATAAATTGCAGAGCTAAAAGAGAGAAAAATGATAATAATATTTTTTTCATACATAACGCTCGGTGAATTAATATAATTTACTCACCATCTCGCAATTCTGTAAATGCTCTGCCATTTACGTATATTCTTGTATAGGTATAAACTGCAGCGAACGTATAAAGCGAACTCAGCGCGTAAATTCCGCAAT